ATATATATATATATGTATACATCTATCTATCTACCTACCTATCTATCTATCTATCTATCTATCTATCTATCTATCTCTCTATATGCTAATCATGTATATACATACATATACATACATATGTCCATGTCTCTCTCTATCCATCTCTCCATCTCTCCTTCCCTGGGCAGACCCGGGCCTGGTTGGAGACGCGGCTGGTGAGCGCACGCGGGCAGCTGTTGGGCAGGGTGCCGGGAGTCCCAGGCCGAGGCTCAGGCGCAGGGCTTGGAAGCGTGGTTTGTGTACTAGGGCCAGAGGGTTCAAGGGTTGGGGGGATTGAAGGCTTGGGTGTTTAGGGTTTAGGGTTTAGGGTCCCTAATCCCTAAACCCTAAACCCTAGAAGGCCTTAGAACGAGTCCGCCGGACTTGCGTGCAATATGATGAGGCCACACCCTGCGGACAAGCAGATCCGGGGCTGGGCCGAGAAGAGGAAGGAGAGCCAGAGGCCGCGATTGGAGGGATGTTGAGGGTCAGGGTGGGATGCCGTAAGGTTTTGATAGGTGCTTGGATTCCAAGGTGCCGTATAGGGTTTGAAGGGCCCAGAGGTATCTAGAGGAATCGCAGTTGCTGTTTGGCAAACAGCACCCTTCCTCGCTCTGCAAGATACCCATTGCGGGTGCATACACCGATGCCAAGGGGCTATGTTGGCAAGACCGAGTGAAGCTCCTCGCCGTCCCAGGCGCGCCCGCGAGTTGCAGGAGCAGTTGGCCGACAACTACTTAGGGCCGGCTCCTCAGCAAATGGAGGCCATGTTAGGCTCGTTGTGGCAGAGGCTGGGATGCAAGGTCTTCGCCCGGGGCATCAGACAGTGCAGAATCACACCCCCTCCGCAAAGACCCAGGACTAGGAGCCTGCCATCCCATCACATCGTCATCGTCATGACAGAAACTTAAAACCCTAAGCTCTCAAAGCATGAAGAAGCAACGCCGTCTTGGCTCCAGGCCGAAGTTGCCACTGCTTCCCCCAAAGAAGCTGGGAACTACGGCCGGGACCTTTCAGAGAAAAAGGGGGTCAGAGCTTCAGGCTTCGGGTGCCGAGTTTAGGAGTACTAGAGGGTTGGGGGGTTCAGTGTTACGTAGGGTTTGGGGACTTCTGGGTTGAAGGGTTCGGGAATTCAGTATTTAGAGGTTTGGGATGTTCGCAACCGGAGCCCAGAATATAGAATTGCAGGCGTAAGTCCAGGCTCCTCCTGAAGTCTGAATCTTCATTTTGATGCATTGCTTGGAGGCCTTCCGAAGTTGGGCTGCTCTTCCGGGCAAGGCCGCGCCGAGAAGGCGCAGTTCCCACGCCTCGTAGGCAGAGGCCCGCGGATGTTTTGGGACTCTCCGGGCTTCGAAGCCAGGCCGCCAAACAACTTCCCCGGCCGCTGGCCCGGAGTCGCGCGCTTCTGCAACTGTCAGCAGACAAGTTCCGAAAGCAAAAAGTATCGACAATGTAAACAGTATTCTTGCTGCTAAGTGATTGTGACATTGTGCTCCCACAGATGTCAGATGTCCACTTCGCCACCTAGCCAAAGCATGCCGTCACTGTGCTGTGGATGCAGGAAGAGGAGTCGTAATTCTGAGACATTTGGGTATGAGGATTGGTGGTGGTTTCGTACGTCTGCAACTTAAAACTGACTATGCCAACACCGGTCGTAGCTAATAGGAGCCAGAAATGATGAAGACTGGCAACATCCGTAACTACAATTGCAAGAGAACCATCCATCACATTGAATCAGCATTGGTAGAACCAAACAGCCTAAGCCCTAAACCCAACAAAGTCAAAAACAAACCCTAAACCCTAAAAAATAAACCCTAAACCCTAAGGCTCAACCCTGAAAAACTTGTGTTTTTCCCAAGGGCTTTGACGCCAAGGTCCGGAGGCGTTCCGCGCCCTGAAGTTGTCCAAGGCCGGCCCCGCGGTTATTCGCCCGCCTCGGGCCCACGTCTTATTCAAGGCCGGCCCCGCGGTTATTCGCCCGCCTCGGGCCCACGTCTTATTCCAGAAGCTGAAGGCATCGAGCAACAGAGCACAAAAGAGCTAAAGTATAATAAGAGCTACAAGATCTTAGAAGCAGTCTTCAGACAGGGTTTGCATCTGACTTCCTGTGCAATACACATCTGATGCCGGTATCCTAGAAGCCTTGGAAACTACTAGGACACGCTACGGCCTGCCGAGCCCCTAAACCTGACAAACCTGAAACTACGACTGCAAACAGGGTCCCGAAACCCTAAACCCCGAAACCCCTAAACCCCTAAGCCCTAGACCCCTAAACCCCTAAACCCCTAAACCCTAAACTCGAGGCCAAATCCGAGCCTCGACTTCCTCCAGCCTGGCCTCCGAAGGGCCCTCCCAAAGCGCGGCGCAAGCGAGAAGGCCTTGAACTAGCGATGCGAGCATATGCATATGCATATGCATATGCATATGCATATGTATGTATGTATGTATGTATGTATGTATGTATGTATGTACGTACGTATGTATGTATGTATGTATGTATGTATGTATGTGTGTGTATGCATGCATGCATGCACGCATGCATGTATGCATGTATGTATGTAGGTATGTATGTATCTGTGTGAGAGATTAGCCCAGGAAGCTTCCTGATTGCTTGCACCTAGGATTCTAACGATCCATGCTTTCAGAATGCTGACCAGGTCAAGCACGTACAACATCATGAATTCTAGAACAACCTCGTCGGAACCCTGTTAGCCCTGTTACAATGTGCCAAAATCCTGGCCCTGCAGCCGTCGGTACATTTTTGTATCTCATGCCTGGGTGTCTGCTCTCTAAACTCTAAACGCTGAACCCTTGTAGATCCAATTTACTAACAAATGCGCCTTTAGTCATTAGTCTGGTTCAGTCGTGCCCCACGGCGAACTAGATTTTAGAATTAAGAGTTGTCAGTATTTGTAATGCCGCAATCCCGTTAGACCACTTCGCCAGCTCACCAATTATAATTAATTTGGCCTTGACCCATAAATTAAGCGAGTTCACCATTGAGTTCCCGCATAGGGTCAGGCCAGTTCACCATTTCACCATTCATTTCCGCCCATGTGGTCAGACCTCCTCATTTTCCCAGGGCCGAACTCATTAGTGAAATGGTGAAATGGTCTATGGGTTAGGGCCAAACTAATTGCTGAAATGGTGAACTGGTTTATGGGTTAGGGCCAAACTAATTGGTGAAATGGTGAACTGGTTTATGGGTTAGGGCCAAACTAATTGGTGAACTGGTGAAAGGTTTATGGGTTGGGGCCAAACCAGTTGGTGAAATGGTTTATGGGTTTAGCCTTAGGGCCAAATTAATTGGTGAAATGGTGAATTGGTGAATTGGTGAGGGGTCCTGACCATAGGGGGGCAATGAACGGTGAAATGGTGAACTGGTTGAGAGCCGCTGTAGAGGAGAGGTTTGGATTCTAACAAGGGGACAGAGGTTCAGAATTGGAAGCACTTTCTGGAGGTGCCGATCATGTGGAGAGCCCTGTGCAGAAGGGCGAGTCCGATGCGTGAGGGAACAGTGAACCCCATAACCCCAAACCCGAAGGGGTTCGAAAGCTGCCTAAAGCCCTTTACTACCCTCCAAAAGCCTTGTTGCAGTGCAATTTTTACAGAACTGGAGCACTGGATGCAAGTCGGAGCGCAGTGCTGTTTCACCTGAGGCACATCGGACGGGTTCTTGAGGTTTGCAGAGGGGAAGGAAGGCCTGGAGAGCCTAGGACCAAGATCTTTCGCCCTGTATATATATATATATATGTTATATATATATATATATATATATATATTATAATATGCCTCAGCAACCTGTCGCAGTGCTCTTGCCCTCAACTTGGGCGAGGCGGTTAATGCCTGAAGCATCGAGCACATGTCGTATGTGTTCGGGCTTGCAGAGTAGTTAATGAGGTATGGTAGGATATGTCTCCAAATTCATTGCATGTGCGTGTGCAAGTTTCTTTAGCCACATTGCCGCGAGGTGCAACTTATTGAAACATGATATCAAGCAGCTTGCTGAGTGCGTGGGATCGGCGTAAGAGCCTGTATAACGCACCAGCCGAAAGCGGCACCAACACCACGTCCTGCGACTCGGTACCGCAGCTTGGGGTCTTCAAGGGTGGCGCTGCAGCCCTGCAAGACAATCTCGCCGGGAGCTTGGCAGCACTGGCTCTTTGAGCATTGACCGGTCCGGTTCGCTTCGACTTGACAGCCTTGTCCGGGAAGTCGAAGTGCTTGCTTTGGTGAGCTTACGCGACTCAAGCCGAGCCGTTCAGAAGCCGAGCCGATGCAGCACTCTTTGCGTCTCGTGCCGAGCTCAGGGCCATGGCCCGCCGAGTGCGAAGCCGGCGAGCGCAGCTGACGCTGCTCGCTGTGGCAGCTGCCTCTCTCCCAGCTGCAAGCTGACCCCAAAGCAGCCTTCTGTGCAAAGCTCTGCTGGTAGGGCGCAGAATTGAGACAGGCACATACAGCTCATGCAAACGGGTGTTTTGCATCCTTTAGGCCTGTCGGCTCGAGGGGAGTAGAGTGACGGTGCCGGGTTTGGCGAGTTTAGGAATCATCACATCGCGTCTTCCAGTATTCTAGTCGTCATTGTCGCTGGTCTTCGATCCCACCCCATCCACCTCCAGGGAGAGGGTTCGTTAAAAGCCTAGCCGCTGCTCTTAGCCCAGGCTCCTGACACCTGAAGGTAACCTATCGCAGCACATGCCTTGGAGCCATGGTCCTCGAAGGGGAGGAAGCCCTGCTGCGAGTGTTAAGCCTTCTGGCTCCACGGGATGGTGCTGTTGCATCAGCTGTGTCAGTGGCCTTCCGAGGATCTCTGTGCCGCCTTGATCAGTCGGTGACGGTGAGATTGCAGACGCCCGAAGAGATGATGGAGGAAGATCCGCCTGAGTCTGATGAAAACATAGAAATAGACAGAGGCTATTACACCACTCTAGGGCACAAAGGGGCAGCAGAGATCGAAGGAGTGCACGTGCTGAAGGCCAGCATTTCCCTGGCCGAGTACCGGGCGTATGCAGAGATGGTCCTGGAGAGGCGCGAGGATCTGCGCTAGAACTTCCACGAGGCCTGCGACGCGGAATCTGCCGAGCTGGAACTCGTCGGCGCCAGCTTCTGCGATGCCCGGGGCAGGATCTGTCCGGCTTCCGTCAAAGCCTGTGGCCCAGAAGTGATGTCTGGTGGATTTCTCTACATTGGGACGCTAGGTGACGACGAGTTCCAGCGTCCAAACCTGGGGGCAGTGGTGATCCTCAAGCTGCTGCTGGACACCGTTTTGAAGGGAAGATGGACGGTTGCAGTAGTGATCCCCAGTGATGCAGAGCTCCGGTGCTTTCTGCAGGCCGGGTTTGTGCAGGCTGAGGAATTGGCCCTGCAAGGCCACGGTGTTGTTTTGTTCGCAGTTCCCAGCTTCTTGGACCATGAGATGAAGTTGGGAGGCTAGGTCGGTGCCCATACTAGAACCGCTGGAGGGAGAGCCACCTTCAGGAATCAACAAGGATTTGTTGGAGCTGGTGAAAAACGAAGGTACGCGATTTGTTGGCAAAAGGTGCTTCCATCGAAGCTTCCCGTGCAATCCATTGCTGCGTCTACATCGGGGATCTCGAGCGGCTGGAGATACTCCTGCGTTTGACCCCTTCTCCCGAAGAAGCCGTAAACCAACCAGATGGTTCCGGGCTGGTGCCGCTGATGCTGGCTGCCAAGGGCGCCTGTGGTGTTCTCTCGAGATCCAACCGGTCCGTGCCCACGGCTTGCTGTGCCAAACTGATCGCTGCAGGCGCTAAGGTCTCTGCGGGACCAGTTGGTTCTATTCCCCACCAGATCCAGACAACTTTTCGACATGTGAGATTACCCTTCCTGGAACTGCAGTGTTCTTTCGTGGCCTGTCTTTTGGCAGGTTTGTCTACGGCGCCCTCCTGCACGACATACTTCCTCCGGTACTTTGGTTGTACGATAACGAACCAAATGCCACGCCAGTTTTCGAGATCGAGAAATCTGGGAAAGTCGTCGAGTTCATGAAGTGGTTCGACCCAGCTCT